TGTTATACCATGTCAGTACCGCGGCCGCAGCAATTGGGATTTTTGTACTCTAGCGTAAAACATTATACGATTTTCAAATAAATTCAGTAACTATCTACGATAACTAAGCCTAAGTTGTGCCCCAAAATAGGTAAACATATTTACACAGGACAAACATCACCCCAAGACCATCCAACCAACTTTGGGAGATTAAATCTCGTCAACGGATTAACAAAAAATGAAARTTTAAACGTGAACATTTATTAAAAAAATAGCCTTATTAATTTATGACATTTTTAATATAGGTTGCCATTTAAAAATCAAAAGTTGATAGTGGTTTACCTAATAAATATAAGGGTGAAAAATATTAAAAATKTATATAGTTTTAGAATAGCATGTATCTAAAATTTTGAAAAAAGTAAATAGTTTTTATAAATAATGAGTGTTTTACGCCTCATGAATCACCCCTGTATATATTATCAATAATACAATTTTTTAAACATTGCCCCTGTTGGCGTATTGTTGCTGACTTCAATATTATCCTGTAGGTGGTTATCTAGTTGTCTTTTATTTAAGTTTGGTTTAAGAGGTTGCCACACCTGTAATTATTGACTCCGTTTTACAATTGTACAATACAACTAAAATTGTTTCGCACCTAACCTTGAAGGCTGCAGTCATAATTATAAATAAATATAAATATATATATATGTTTTTTTAAAGTATCAAAATGTTCACATTATAAAATGGAGAACATGTACTATAAACAACATTGTTTTTTGTTATTACAAATACAAAAAAAGTTTTTATTGTTCATAAATGTATTATTTCAAACTTGAATAACATTTTTTGTATTTGAGGTATCGAAAAAATAAAAACGATGCTGCCCAGTAAATGTTCTCCTCTTTATAGTGTTAAATGTTGTTTCTTAGTTATTGACTGTAGTTTTCTTGGTTCTTTTCTGCCCAAAACAGTTTTTGGTATGTTTTTAAAATGGAGACAATACATACGTATGTGGTGTCCTCTTAATAATCAATAATACAAAGTATAGCTAGTTAGGTTTGGTAATGCAATATCTGACCTACTTATAAAAATCATTAAACTATGTATAAATTGTCAAAAGAGGTGTAAGAGTTCTTTGACAATGATTATTTAGAAAAATTATAATACCTGTTGGCTATTAATCTCTGTGAATAAATTCATAGAATATAATGTATACTTCTATTTTCAAAAAAATATTACAATCTCACTCTTTAGAGTACATAACTGAGATAGATATTATATACTGGAGCGCGAACTCATCATTTTCGTAGTGATATAAAAAATGAGCCATCCTGATTTMTGCTTCCTTTACCACCAAGGGCAAAATATTTCATTGTTACGTACGATAGACATGTAGATATGAATATTTTTGTTTATAATTACTAATTTATTTCAACTATTTTCTTAATTCTTTAACAAATTGAATGAAGTAATAATTAGTTATTACCTTGTTATATTACTATGATTATTTATATATTATATTATATGATATAATGATATGAAAAAAGATAAAATTGCAATAAATAAGTAAATGCAGTAAGTATAGATAAACTAATTAAGGCTTCAAAAGCTATTCTATTAATAATACAGCATTTAGAAAAAGCTATTCAAGTGTTGTTGTAGTCCAGGAAAGTCAATTACATAAAAATTTAGCACATAATATTTGTCAGATATGCTAAAAAAAGTATATAGTTGAAAAGTCGTTTTTTTCCTAACTCACATTCAATAAATGTGGATTTAGGGGYACCTAGCCATGAATATATATTATTTATACTAATTAGTACCATGTTTATGAAATATAAGAATGCACCATTACCAGAGAAAATATAATTTGAGAGAACTATTGAACAATAAACCTTCTCTCCCAAAGAAACTATCAAAAATGATCTTACTCAAAATTATAGTTTTTATGTTACCTATTTGTGCTTTGTGTGTATATACACATATTAACTAGACCATAACAAACATAGTTTTAAATAATGGCMCGAAATTAAATACTCAAGTAATTATTTTGTACTTTATTATAAATAATAAATATACTGTTATGAAATATGTGTTATATTTTTCTTTTTTAATCATATAATGTATTATAGGTTTTTCTATGTGATTTTAATCTATTGTTAAATGTTGTCTCTTTTCATATCATTATATCATTTTATATATTATAATCTTGATAATACAATAAGATAATGACTAGTAATTACTTCATTCAATTTCTTAAAGAATTAAGAAAATAATTGAAATAAATCAGGAATTATGAATGAAAATAGTCATAACTACACGTCCATTGTTTGTTAAAATGAAATGTTTTGCCTTTCGGTGGTGGGATAATGTCAAATGTGATGGTTCATTTTTACAACCAAGTCTGCGCTCCAGTGTATATTAGCTATCTTAGTGGAGTACATWATATTATATTAACCAATTATCAGTTAGTCATAATTTATGTGAAAACTCAATTAATAAGTGAATATTAAAATATTAAATGCCTGAAAATATAGCATACATTGTTATTGTATGTTCATTAGTGATATAAAACTATGTAAATATTCTATTTTAATTATTTTATTATGTATTATATGATTTTAGGCAAACCAAGAGGTATTTAACGCGTGTTTAGCTGTATTGAATCCTGAACAGATGAAGATGTTACAAAGTCTTCTGATGGTTAATAATTGATTTACACATTTGACCGTTTATGTTTTATTTTTATGACAAATTTGAATCTTTACTGTAACCCCTGCTTCTATTATTTTTACTTTATATCATCACTTGTTATTTTTTGTTATATAGTAACAAAATTAAATGGTTTGGAATGATGTATTAAAAATATTAAATTTTAATACTTTTAAAAATCGAAATTAAATTAATGTTTTAAAATTTGCATGAACTAAATTGAAATGTATTGTGCTATAACTTTTGTAATAAACATTTTTTTTTACATCTTATATGCCAGATATCATTGAAGATATTTTATACTCAACAATTTTATTTTATTATGTAAAATAATATTAACTGTATTTAATTATCATTTAATTAAATATTGTTTTATGCCGAATTAGAAAAGAAAATTGTAAGCTTAGTTATTATTTTTCCCTGAGTTTTAGTAACATGTAACATTATTATTTTCTTTTAAGTTTTTACCAAAATGTCTATTTACGAGGGAAGATATCAAGTGAACAGATTTTCTAATTATGCTTCTCTTAAGTAAGTTACCATAAGCGACCTATAGTACCTATATTTTTTTTCAGAAATAAAAACACTACTTTCAGTTTTAATTTATTTATGCAATGTTTAGATGAATAAATAAATAAAAATTTGTTTTAAAGACTAATATGAATGTTTTTTTGTGTACACTTTGTATATTACTTCACTATATTAGTGATTAATATGATTGAATTAAATGCTCAATATTTCTATTTTAGAGCTTATTAAGGTTTAAAAACATTTCATTTTTTTGATTAAAAAGTAATAAATATCAATCTCATTCAATAATAATGAATATCAATCTCATTCAATAATAATGAATTTCAATCTCTGAAAATAATAAAGCAGCATTGATATAATATTACCAATTGTATAATATTTAGTTAGTAAATTATAGAATGTATGGAATGAATTTTAGTACAAAAATTATGATCAATTTATGGAAGTATAAAAGCTATTGCCACTGTTTAAATACATTTGTGGTTCTAGGATCGAAAATTGGAAAATGAATTAGTTATTATTATTTTGTCAGTGATGTTCAAAAAAAAAAAAAATAATTAAACATAAACTAATAAATCAGTCCAAATATGTAGTATCAAAGTCGTTATGTAAAAACCAATTCTTGTTTAACTAKATATATATACAATATGGACTAAATAATATATGTCTGCTATAAAATAGGATGTAGTTGGAACACAGAAAAGGTAGGACAAAAGTAGTTTACCTGTTTCTAGGACGCAATCGGCGGTCTCAGATTTTGTCAGTTGTTTCGTTTTATTATATAGAGACCCACTAAGAAAGGCTTTTCTAAAATTTTCATGAGTTCCTCAAACAAGGATTTTGACTTTTTTCGTTTATTGGTTGTAGACTAATAGGTAGTTAAAGTAGAAATAAGTATTTGTTTTTTATTAACTTATTAATCTCTAAACTTATTGCTAATAATTAGGTAATTTAAATCACGTTTAGTAAATCGTGGCTTGCGGTTGCCCATCAAGGTCGAATTATTTCAAAAAGTTTTGGTACACTGACGCCGGTTCCCCAYGTACTGAAATAAGTATACAAAACCTGAAATAAACTCAAACCGAAATACACCTATAAAACGTACATACTTATCAAAGGTGGTTACTTTAACTAGTTAGTTTATTTTCTAATCAACTTAAGAACATATAACTAGTTTCATTTACCATTGAAATAACTTGCCATTTCTCAGTTGATTTACAAATAATCCATTAAGTTAAAAAGTAAATTTTTTGTTTAAATGTAGATTTAATACAGAATAAKAATGATCCAATACTATAATAATACAGTTTTTTTTCTTGATAAAATAATTCTGTATACCTACTGATATATTTTATTAGATTAGTTACATTAATATTTTTTCCATATTAAATCTTAACTTAACGATCMTGTGTCATCTTAACTTAAATTCAGTTGATTATTTTCATTAATTTGTCCACCTTTCAACCTTTGCTACCTATATAATATCATACAGGATTTGCCGCAAAGAAAAACTGCACACGGGTGCAGTCGAGTTATTTAGCTAATAACTCAATCATAATGGGTATGTTAGCTATAGATCATAGCCCATATGTATATTAGGTATATTATTAATATTGAAATTAATGCAGTGAGCATAATATTATTCTAAAAATCACTGATCAACAAAATGGTAGAATGAAAAATAAGTAATAAGTACACGTTTTGACTAGTTTTGAGGCTAAACGATGTTTGGAATGAAAATTTAAAAAACCCATTGCTAAAATGTAAAAGAAGTGCCAACTTCTAGTCTCACTATATCCCAATTATCCCATCAACAAATTTGAAAACAAAGATTTGTTAGAATATATCTAAATTTAAATTAAAAAAAAAGTGGCAAGTACCTTTAGGTCGAAGTTTGTTTTTTTTTAGTTGTT